TCAGTCTTCCCAGCCTGGTGCAGGTCTTCAATTTTGTTTCTGGTGTCCTTTGACAGCTCTTTGGTCTTGGCCATAGTGGAGTTTGGAGTGTGACTGTTTGAGGTTGTAGACAGGTGTCTTTTATACTGATAACAAGTTCAAACAGGTGCCATTAATACAGGTAACGAGTGGAGGACAGAGGAGCCTCTTAAAGAAGAAGTTACAGGTCTGTGAGAGCCAGAAATCTTGCTTGTTTGTAGGTGACCAAATACTTATTTTCCACCATAATTTGCAAATAAATTCATTAAAAATCCTACAATGTGATTTTCTGGATTTTTTTTCTCATTTTGTCTGTCATAGTTGACGTGTACCTATGATGAAAATTACAGGCCTCTCATCTTTTTAAGTGGGAGAACTTGCACAATTGGTGGCTGACTAAATACTTTTTTCCCCCACTGTATGTTAATATTTATACAGTCCTTTGTTCTATTCATCATTCTCTCTATATATATTTATAATATACCATTACATTACATTCCTCTATATATATATATATATATAGATGTATAGTTGTCATGTTGTATTTATTGCACTCTCTCTCTTTCTCTGTACCATTTCCAGGATCATTACTCCTGCTTGGCAATAGCGCCCCCTGTGTGTGGTAACTCTCTGTGTGGTAACTCTCTGTGTGGTAACTCTCTGTGAGGTAACTCTCTGTGAGGTAACTCTGTGAGGTAACTCTCTGTGTGGTAACTCTCTGTGAGGTAACTCTCTGTGAGGTAACTCTCTGTGAGGTAACTCTGTGTGGTGACTCTCTGTGTGGTAACTCTCTGTGAGGTAACTCTGTGTGGTAACTCTCTGTGTGGTAACTCTGTGTGGTAACTCTCTGTGTGGTAACTCTCTGTGTGGTAACTCTCTGTGTAGTAACTCTCTGTGTGGTAACTCTCTGTGAGGTAACTCTCTGTGAGGTAACTCTCTGTGTGGTAACTCTCTGTGAGGTAACTCTCTGTGAGGTAACTCTCTGTGTGGTACCTCTCTGTGTGGTACCTCTCTGTGTGGTAACTCTCTGTGAGGTAACTCTCTGTGTGGTAACTCTCTGTGAGGTAACTCTCTGTGTGGTAACTCTCTGTGTGGTAACTCTCTGTGTGGTAACTCTCTGTGTGGTAACTCTCTGTGTGGTAACTCTCTGTGTGGTAACTCTCTGTGAAAGTAACTCTCTGTGAGGTAACTCTCTGTGAGGTAACTCTCTGTGTGGTAACTCTCTGTGAGGTAACTCTGTGTGGTAACTCTCTGTGTGGTAACTCTCTGTGTGGCAACTCTCTGTGAGGTAACTCTCTGTGAGGTAACTCTCTGTGAGGTAACTCTCTGTGTGGTAACTCTCTGTGTGGTAACTCTCTGTGAGGTAACTCTCTGTGAGGTAACTCTCTGTGTGGTAACTCTCTGTGTGGTAACTCTCTGTGAGGTAACTCTCTGTGTGGTAACTCTCTGTGAGGTAACTCTCTGTGAGGTAACTCTCTGTGAGGTAACTCTCTGTGAGGTAACTCTGTGTGGTAACTCTCTGTGAGGTAACTCTCTGTGTGGTAACTCTCTGTGAGGTAACTCTCTGTGAGGTAACCCTCTGTGAGGTAACTCTCTGTGTGGTAACTCTCTGTGAGGTAACTCTCTGTGTGGTAACTCTCTGTGAGGTAACTCTCTGTGTGGTAACTCTCTGTGAGGTTGCCTTAACTCTCTGACCGGGAAAGGTCTTCAGTGGGTCAAATAGGAGGGTCTCCATCACAATATGTTTCTATATACAGGGAGGGAGGAGACGAGTGGCGCAGCGTTCTAAGGCACTGCATCTCAGTGCTTGAGGCGTCACTACAGACCGAGTGGCGCAGCGGTCTAAGGCACTGCATCTCAGTGCTTGAGGCGTCACTACAGACCGAGTGGCGCAGCGGTCTAAGGCACTGCATCTCAGTGCTTGAGGCGTCACTACAGACCCCCTGGTTCGATTCCAGGCTGTATCACAACCGGCCGTGATTGGGAGTCCCATAGGGCGGCGCACAATTGGCCCAGCGTCGTCCGGGTTTGGCCGGTGTAGGCAGTCATTGTAAATAAGAATTAGTTCTTAACTGACTTGCCTAGTTAAATAAAGGTAAAATAAAAAATAAAATAAATAAATAAAATACAATTTCATGCCTATGTCCCGCAGGGCTGTACCTACCTCTTCTCCAGGTCACAGTCCCCCAGGGTGCCGTTGATGAGCTGGTTAGGGGTCCACTTCAGGGTGAGGTTGTCCCCTGCCTGGTGAAGGGACAGGTACCCCCGCAACACCTCCATTTCTTTCTTCTATATGGAAGGGGGGGGGGGGCAAAGACCTTTATTTCTATGTCATCTGACCATAACACCGGTTCCAATCCAAGTGCCATTTATCAACGGTCTCATGAAAATAAAAGTTATTTGGCCGTGCACACCAGTGGTGGGTTTGGTGTTGAAAAACAGAAGCATATGCAGAAAGGTTACCTTGTACCTACTGTAAAATATAGTGGTGGATCTGTGATGTTACGGGGCTATTTAGCTTCCACTGGTCCTGGGGCCCTTGTTAAGGTCAACAGCATCATGAACTTTACCCAGTACCAGGACATTTTAGCCCAACACCTGGTTTCCTCTGCCAGGAGGCTGACACTTGTAGATCTTTCAGCAAGACACTAACCCCAAGCACATATCAAAATCCACAAAGAAATGGTTAATTGACCACAAAATCAACATTTTGCAATGGCCATCTCAGTCTCCGGACTTGAACCCTATTGAAAACCTGTGGTTTGAATTGAAGTGGGCAGTCCATAAGAGCAGACGAAGGGTATCAAGGATCTGGAAAGATTCTGTATGGAGGAATGATCTAAGATCCCTCCCAATGTGTTCTCCAATGTCATAAAACATTTTAGAAAAAGGCTCAGTGTCGTTATCCTCACAAGGGGAGGGTGCTGGAGTATTGAAAACAGGGGAGGGTGCTGGACTATTGGAAACAGGGGGAGGGTGCTGGAGTATTGGAAACAGGGGGAGGGTGCTGGAGTATTGGAAACAGGGGAGGGTGCTGGACTATTGAAAACAGGGGAGGGTGCTGGAGTATTGGAAACAGGGGAGGGTGCTGGAGTATTGAAAACAGGGGAGGGTGCTGGAGTATTGAAAACAGGGGAGGGTGCTGGAGTATTGAAAACAGGGGAGGGTGCTGGAGTATTGAAAACAGGGGAGGGTGCTGGGGTATTGCAAACAGGGGAGGGTGCTAGAGTATTGAAAAGTATTGACAATTTTCCGGGCCTTCCTCTGACACCGCCTGGTATAGAGGTCCTGGATGGCAGGGAGCTCGGCCCCAGTGATGTACTGGGCCGTACACACTACCCTCTGTAGCACCTTGCGGTCGGATGCCAAGCAGTTCCCGTACCAAGCGGTGATGCAGCCAGTCAAGATGCTCTCAATGGTGCAGCTGTAGAACGTTTTGAGGATCTGAGGGCCCATGACAAATCTTTTCAGCCTCCTGAGGGGGAAGAGGCATTTTCGTGCCTTCTTCACGACTGTGTTGGTGTGTGTGGACCATGTTAATTCCGTAGTGATGTGGACACCGAGGAACTTGAAGCTCTCGACCCACTCCACTACAGCCCCGTCGATGTGGATGGGGCCGTGCTCGGCCCTCTGTTTCCTGTAGTCCACGATCAGCTCCTTTGTCTTGCTGACGTTGAGGGAGAAGTTGTTGTCATGGCACCACACTGCCAGGTCACTGACCTCCTCCCTATAGGCTGTCTCATCGTCGTGGGTGATCAGTCCTACCACCGTCATGTCAACAGCAAACTTAATGATGGTGTTGGAGTCGTGCGCAGCCACGCAGTCGTGGGTGAACAGGGAGTACAGGAGGGGACTAAGCACGTACCCCTGAGGGGCCCCCGTTTGAGGGTCAGTGTGGCAGATGTCTTGTTGCCTACCCTCACCACCTGTGGGTGACCCGTCAGGAAGTCCAGGATCCAGATGCAGAGGGAGGTGTTCAGTCCCTGGTTCCTTAGCTTAGTGATGAGCTTGGAGGGCACTATGGTGTTTAACACTGAGCTTTAGTCAATGAACAGCATTCTCACATAGGTGTTCCTCTTGTCCAGGTGGGAAGGGGCAGTGTGGCGTGCAATAGAGATTGCGTCATCTGTGGATCTGTTGGGGCGGTATGCTAATTGGAGTGGGTCCAGGGTGTCTGGGATGATGGTGTTGATGTGAGCCATGACCAGCCTTTCAAAGCATTTCATGGCTACAGACGAGTGTGCTACAGGGAAATAGTCATTTAGACAGTTTACCTTGGCGTTCTTGGGCACAGGGACTATGGTGGTCTGTTCGAAACGTGGGTCAGGGAGAGGTTGAAAATGTCAGTGAAGACACTGGCCAGCTGGTCAGCGCATGCTCTGAGTACGCGTCCTGGTAATCTGTCTGGCCCTGCGGCCTTGTGAATGTTAACCTGTTTAAAGGTCTTACTCACATCTGCTACGGAGAGCGAGATCACACAAGGACACTGATCCAGTCTGTTAGTCTGCTCCCTATATGATCTAGACAAACAGACTGGATCATATAGGAAGCAGACAAACAGACTGGATCATATAGGGAGGAGACAAACAGACTGGATCATATAGGGAGGAGACAAACAGACTGGATCATATAGGGAGGAGACAAACAGACTGGATCATATAGGGAGGAGACAAACAGACTGGATCATATAGGAAGCAGACAAACAGACTGGATCATATAGGGAGGAGACAAACAGACTGGATCATATAGGGAGGAGACAAACAGACTGGATCATATAGGGAGGAGACAAACAGACTGGATCATATAGGAAGCAGACAAACAGACTGGATCATATAGGGAGGAGACAAACAGACTGGATCATATAGGGAGGAGACAAAACAGACTGGATCATATAGGGAGGAGACAAACAGACTGGATCATATAGGGAGGAGACAAACAGACTGGATCATATAGGGAGGAGACAAACAGACTGGATCATATAGGGAGGAGACAAACAGACTGGATCATATAGGTAGCAGACAAACAGACTGGATCATATAGGGAGGAGACAAACAGACTGGATCATATAGGGAGGAGACAAACAGACTGGATCATATAGGGAGGAGACAAACAGACTGGATCATATAGGAAGCAGACAAACAGACTGGATCATATAGGGAGGAGACAAACAGACTGGATCATATAGGGAGGAGACAAACAGACTGGATCATATAGGGAGGAGACAAACAGACTGGATCATATAGGGAGGAGACAAACAGACTGGATCATATAGGGAGGGAGACAAACAGACTGGATCATATAGGGAGGAGACAAACAGACTGGATCATATAGGGAGCAGACAAACAGACTGGATCATATAGGGAGCAGACAAACAGACTGGATCATATAGGGAGCAGACAAACAGACTGGATCATATAGGGAGGAGACAAACAGACTGGATCATATAGGGAGGAGACAAACAGACTGGATCATATAGGAAGCAGACAAACAGACTGGATCATATAGGGAGGAGACAAACAGACTGGATCATATAGGGAGGAGACAAACAGACTGGATCATATAGGGAGGAGACAAACAGACTGGATCATATAGGGAGGAGACAAACAGACTGGATCATATAGGGAGGAGAAAAAACAGACTGGATCATATAGGAAGCAGACAAACAGACTGGATCATATAGGGAGGAGACAAACAGACTGGATCATATAGGGAGGAGACAAACAGACTGGATCATATAGGGAGGAGACAAACAGACTGGATCATATAGGAAGCAGACAAACAGACTGGATCATATAGGGAGGAGACAAACAGACTGGATCATATAGGAAGCAGACAAACAGACTGGATCATATAGGGAGGAGACAAACAGACTGGATCATATAGTGAGGAGACAAACAGACTGGATCATATAGGGAGGAGACAAACAGACTGGATCATATAGGTAGCAGACAAACAGACTGGATCATATAGGAAGCAGACAAACAGACTGGATCATATAAGGAGGAGACAAACAGACTGGATCATATAGGAAGCAGACAAACAGACTGGATCATATAGGAAGCAGACAAACAGACTGGATCATATAGGAAGCAGACAAACAGACTGGATCATATAGGGAGGAGACAAACAGACTGGATCATATAGGGAGGAGACAAACAGACTGGATCATATAGGGAGGAGACAAACAGACTGGATCATATAAGGGGGGAGACAAACAGACTGGATCATATAGGGAGGAGACAAACAGACTGGATCATATAGGGAGGAGACAAACAGACTGGATCATATAGGGAGGAGACAAACAGACTGGATCATATAGGGAGGAGACAAACAGACTGGATCATATAGGGAGGAGACAAACAGACTGGATCATATAGGGAGGAGACAAACAGACTGGATCATATAGGAAGCAGACAAACAGACTGGATCATATAGGGAGGAGACAAACAGACTGGATCATATAGGAAGCAGACAAACAGACTGGATCATATAGGGAGGAGACAAACAGACTGGATCATATAGGAAGCAGACAAACAGACTGGATCATATAGGGAGGAGACAAACAGACTGGATCATATAGGGAGGAGACAAACAGACTGGATCATATAGGGAGGAGACAAACAGACTGGATCATATAGGAGCAACTTTCTCAGGGTGTATTTACTAACTACCCCAAAGCCTTATTGACCATCCCTGAGTTCAATTAATCAATCAATCAAATGTATTTTATAAAAGCCCTTTTTACATCAGCAGATGTCACAAAGTGCTTTACAGATACCCAGCCTAAAACCCCAAACAGCAAGCAAAGCAGAAGCAAATACACAGTGGCCAGGAAACACTCGCTAGAAGGCAGGAACCTAGGAGGAAGAAACCTAGCGAAGAAGCCGGCTCAGAGAGGTGGCTGATCCTCTTCTTGGCTGTACTATAATATTTCTACAGTACTACAATAATACTACTTGTCACGATCGTCTACTAATGAGGAAGCGGACCAAAGCGCAGCGTTGCGAGTGAACATGATTTTTAATAAAGAAGCACGTAACTACAAAACAAAAGACGAATCGTGAAGTCCAACAAACACCGACTGACACGGAAACAAGGAAACAAAAACCCACAAACACAAGGTGAAAACACACAGTTTAAATATGGCTCCCAATCAGAGATAACGAGCCGACAGCTGACACTCGTTACCTCCGATTGGGAGTCATTGACGACAACATACAACAACCTAGAAATATACACAACAGAACTCCCCACCTAGAAATAAACGTGACAGACATGCAAACATAAAAATACACCCAAACCCCAACAAAACAACATACACTCTAGCTCACATACACAAGTCCTAGAGCCAGAGTGTCACAGTACCCCCCCCTAAAGGTGCGAACTCCGGGCGCACCAGCCCACAGTCTAGGGGAGGGTCTGGGTGGGCGTCTGTCCACGGTGGCGGTTCTGGCCCCGGTCGTGATCCCCACCCCACCACAGTCACAACCTGCTTAAGTAGCCTCCTACACATTACCACCCCCCCAACTACACCCCACTGGGTTAAGGGGCGGCACCGGACTAAGGGGCAGCACCCGGACTACGGGGCAAGTAACCGGACTAAGGGGCAGTAACCGGACTAAGGGGCAGTACCAGGCTAAGGGACAGCACCAGGATAAGGACAGCACCAGGCTACGGGGCAGTAACCGGACTAAGGGGCAGTACCGGACTAAGGGGCAGTACCCAGGCTAAGGGACAGCACCAGGATAAGGGACAGCACCAGGATAAGGAGCAACACCGAGCTAAGGGGCAGCACCTGACTAAATGGCGGATCCTGGCTGGCTGGCTCTGGCGGATCCTGGCTGGCTGGCGGATCCTGGCTGGACGGCTCTGGCGGATCCCGGCTGGACGGCTCTGGCGGATCCCGGCTGGACGGCTCTGGCGGATCCCGGCTGGACGGCTCTGGCGGATCCTGGGCTGGACGGCTCTGGCGGATCCTGGCTGGACGGCTCATGGCTGGCTGACGGATCTGGCTGCTCATGGCTGGCTGACGGATCTGGCTGCTCATGGCTGGCTGACGGATCTGGCTGCTCATGGCTGGCTGACGGATCTGGCTGCTCATGGCTGGCTGACGGATCTGGCTGCTCATGGCTGGCTGACGGATCTGGCTGCTCATGGCTGGCTGACGGATCTGGCTGCTCATGGCCGACTGACGGATCTGGCTGATCCTGTCTGGCGGAAGGCTCTGGCTGATCCTGTCTGGCAGAAGGCTCTGGCTGATCCTGTCTGGCAGAAGGCTCTGGCTGATCCTGTCTGGCGGAAGGCTCTGGCTGATCCTGTCTGGCGGAAGGCTCTAGCGGCTCCGGTCTGGCGGACGGCTCTGATGGCTCATGGCAGACGGGCGGCTTTGCAGGCTTTGGGCAGACGGGCAGTTCAGGCCCCGTTGGGCAGACGGCAGACTCTGGCCGTCTGAGGCGCATCGTAGGCCTGGTGCGTGGTGCCGGAACAGGAGGTACCGGGCTGAGGACACGCATCTCAGGGCTAGTGCGGGGAGAAGCAACAGGGCATGCTGGACCCTGGGGACGCACCGTAGGCCTGATGCGTGGTGCCGGAACTGGAGGTACCGGGCTGAGGACACGCATCTCAGGGCTAGTGCGGGGAGTCGGAACAGGGCATGCTGGACCCTGGGGACTCCCATAACGCCTAGTGCGGGGAGCCGGAACAGGGCATGCTGGACCCTGGGGACTCACCTCACGCCTAGTGCGGGAGAGCAGGAACAGGCCGGGCTGGGCTGGCGACGCGCACCGTATCCCTGGTGCGAGTGGCCGGAACAGGCCGGGCCGGGCTGGCGAAGCGCACCGTCTCCCTGGTGCGTGGAGTAGGAACAGGCCGGGCTGGGCTGGCGACGCGCACCGTATCCCTGGTGCGAGTGGCCGGAACAGGCCGGGCCGGGCTGGCGAAGCGCACCGTATCCCTGGTGCGTGGAGTAGGAACAGGCCGGGCTGAGCTGGCGACGCGCACCGTATCCCTGGTGCGAGTGGCCGGAATAGGCCGGACCAGGCTGGCGACGCGCACCGCATCCCTGGTGCGAGTGGCCGGAACAGGCCGGGTCGGGCTGGCGTAGCACACCGTGGACCTGGTGCTTGGAGTAGGAACAGGCCGGTCCGTACCGGGAACACACACCACTGGCCTCAACCGAGGATCAGGAACGGGCCGGACCGGACTGGCAACACACATCAGTCCTTCACGCCGTGCCACACACACTTCCCTCCTTCTACTCGCCAATGGCTCCCGTACTCCGTTAGCCTTCTCTCCTTTTCTCCCTGTGGCAGCCTCCTGCTGCCCAGCCGCCCAAGCCATGTGCCCCCCCCCAAAAATTTATTGGGGTTGCCTCTCTTCCACGGGCTTCCAGCCTCGCCTTCGCGCTGCCTCCTCGTACCACCTCCTCTCGGCTTTGGCTGCCTCCAGCTCTTCACGAGGGAGGCGATATTCTCCCGGTTGTGCCCAAGGACCCTTTCCGTCCAATAACTCTTCCCATGTCCAGACCCTCGGCTCCTGGACACGCTGCTTGGTCCTTTGATGGTGGGTTTTTCTGTCACGATCGTCTACTAATGAGGAAGCGGACCAAAGCGCAGCGTTGCGAGTGAACATGATTTTTAATAAAGAAGCACGTAACTACAAAACAAAAGACGAATCGTGAAGTCCAACAAACACCGACTGACACGGAAACAATGGAAACAAGGAAACAAAAACCCACAAACACAAGGTGAAAACACACAGTTTAAATATGGCTCCCAATCAGAGATAACGAGCCGACAGCTGACACTCGTTACCTCCGATTGGGAGTCATTGACGACAACATACAACAACCTAGAAATATACACAACAGAACTCCCCACCTAGAAATAAACGTGACAGACATGCAAACATAAAAATACACCCAAACCCCAACAAAACAACATACACTCTAGCTCACATACACAAGTCCTAGAGCCAGAGTGTCACACTACTACATGTCACAGTATTAAAACTCTGTGTACTCTTACCGGTTGGACCAGGACGTTGTTTTTGCCGTAGAGCAGGTGAGTACGGGAGTTCTGGTGAAGAGATTCCACGTATTCCCGAGCAGACGCCGCAAACTTATCCTCGGACATGCTGACGCTGGACTGCCTCTTCCGGATCTGGGAAACAGGCCATGAGAAAGGTCTACATTATTCAGTATTGTGTGTGTAAGGACGTGACTCAGATCCTGACTGATTGTCCCCCAAATTTGTATTTTATTTATTTAACCATTGATCTTCTGATTTTGTGTGAGGATAATGTTCTATACAGTTACATTTACATCATTTAGCAGACGCTCTTATCCAGAGCGACTTACAAATTGGTGCATTCAACTTATGATAGCCAGTGGCAGCAGCGTGGGGGGTGGGGGGTGGGGGGGGGGGGGTAGAAGGATTACTGTTATACTATTCCAGGTATTCCTTAAAGAGGTAGGGTTTCAAGTGTCTCCGGAAGGTGGTCAGTGACTCCGCTGTCCTGGCGTCGTGGGGGAGCTTGTTCCACCATTGGGGTGCCAGAGAAGCAAATAGCTTTCCTATACACTGATCTTTACAGGAAACCTACTGATAGCTGTCACCTGATAGCTGTCACCTGATAGCTGTCACCTGATAGCTGTCACCTGATAGCTGTCACCTGATAGCTGTCACCTGATAGCCGTCACCTGATAGCTGTCACCTGATAGCTGTCACCTGATAGCCGTCACCTGATAGCTGTCACCTGAAAGCTGTCACCTGATAGCTGTCACCTGATAGCCGTCACCTGATAGCTGTCACCTGCTTCCCTTGAAAAACAGTTTGCCCTACAGCCAATTCTGTCAAATTAAAAGAATTTGCACAAAAAAAAAATCTGATTTCGATAGAAATATGGCTGACAAAGCAAATAAAATTCAAGGACAGGGGGTACAAAAATGGTCAGATTAATACTGCCATTGAGAAAATCAGAAATAAATCGAGACATGATCTCTTTCAAGGACAGTCTCTCAAAAAGAAGCATTATTGTGTTCTTACTACCTTACTATTCAAAGTGCTCTGAACAAATGAAGGGAATCGTTCACAAACATTGGCACATTCTAAGATCCGATGACAGTATCGGTAAAGTGCTTTCGGACCCTATATAAACTAGTGACCCGCAGTGTTTGTCATTATACCCTGATGAAGACAGCTTGTCTGTCCAAACGTTGGTTATTAGGTTATTAAATTATTGCATCTGAGCTCCTAGAGTGAGACTCTCCTTTTATTTTTCAAGTGTTCTACTCTGCTGGCCAGCACCTCTCCTAAACAGGTGTTCTACTCTGCTAGCCAGCACCTCTCCTAAACAGGTGTTCTACTCCGCTAGCCAGCACCTCTCCTAAACAGGTGTTCTACTCTGCTAGCCAGCACCTCTCCTAAACAGGTGTTCTACTCTGTTAGCCAGCACCTCTCCTAAACAGGTGTTCTACTCTGTTAGCCAGCACCTCTCCTAAACAGGTGTTCTACTCTGCTAGCCAGCACCTCTCCTAAACAGGTGTTCTACTCTGTTAGCCAGCACCTCTCCTAAACAGGTGTTCTACTCTGTTAGCCAGCACCTCTCCTAAACAGGTGTTCTACTCTGCTACCCAGCACCTCTCCTAAACAGGTGTTCTACTCTGCTAGCCAGCACCTCTCCTAAACAGGTGTTCTACTCCGCTAGCCAGCACCTCTCCTAAACAGGTGTTCTACTCTGCTACCCAGCACCTCTCCTAAACAGGTGTTCTACTCTGCTAGCCAGCACCTCTCCTAAACAGGTGTTCTCCTCTGTTAGCCAGCACCTCTCCTAAACAGGTGTTCTACTCTGCTAGCCAGCACCTCTCCTAAACAGGTGTTCTACTCTGCTAGCCAGCACCTCTCCTAAACAGGTGTTCTACTCTGCTAGCCAGCACCTCTCCTAAACAGGTGTTCTACTCTGCTAGCCAGCACCTCTCCTAAACAGGTGTTCTACTCTGCTGGCCAGCACCTCTCCTAAACAGGTGTTCTACTCCGCTAGCCAGCACCTCTCCTAAACAGGTGTTCTACTCCGCTAGCCAGCACCTCGCCTAAACAGGTGTTCTACTCTGCTACCCAGCACCTCTCCTAAACAGGTGTTCTACTCTGTTAGCCAGCACCTCTCCTAAACAGGTGTTCTACTCTGCTAGCCAGCACCTCTCCTAAACAGGTGTTCTACTCTGCTACCCAGCACCTCTCCTAAACAGGTGTTCTACTCTGCTAGCCAGCACCTCTCCTAAACAGGTGTTCTACTCTGCTAGCCAGCACCTCTCCTAAACAGGTGTTCTACTCTGCTACCCAGCACCTCTCCTAAATAGGTGTTCTACTCTGCTAGCCAGCACCTCTCCTAAACAGGTGTTTCTACTCTGTTAGCCAGCACCTCTCCTAAACAGGTGTTCTACTCTGCTACCCAGCACCTCTCCTAAACAGGTGTTCTACTCTGCTAGCCAGCACCTCTCCTAAACAGGTGTTCTACTCTGCTAGCCAGCACCTCTCCTAAACAGGTGTTCTACTCTGTTAGCCAGCACCTCTCCTAAACAGGTGTTCTACTCTGCTACCCAGCACCTCTCCTAAACAGGTGTTCTACTCTGCTAGCCAGCACCTCTCCTAAACAGGTGTTCTACTCCGCTAGCCAGCACCTCTCCTAAACAGGTGTTCTACTCTGCTAGCCAGCACCTCTCCTAAACAGGTGTTCTACTCTGCTACCCAGCACCTCTCCTAAACAGGTGTTCTACTCTGCTAGCCAGCACCTCTCCTAAACAGGTGTTCTACTCTGCTAGCCAGCACCTCTCCTAAACAGGTGTTCTACTCTGCTAGCCAGCACCTCTCCTAAACAGGTGTTCTACTCTGCTAGCCAGCACCTCTCCTAAACAGGTGTTCTACTCCGCTAGCCAGCACCTCTCCTAAACAGATGTGTGTTTCTTTCACCTCCAGAACAACACAACAGCAACACAACATGACAACAACACAACATGACAGCAACACAACATGACAACAACACAACAGCAACACATGACAACACAACATTGCAGAAACACAACATGACAACAACACAACATGACAACAACACAACATCAACACAACATGACAACAACACATGACAACACCACAACCTGTCAGCAACACAACAACAACAGAACATGACAACACATGACAGCAACACAACATGACAACAACACATAACACAACATGGCAGCAACACAACATGAAAACAACACATGACAACAACACAACATGACAGAAACACAACATGACAACAACACAACTTGACAGCAACAAAACAACACCACCACATGACAGCAACACATAACACAACATGGCAGCAACACAACGTTACAACAGAAGAACAGAAGAACAACACAAAAACAACACAACATGGCAGCAACACAACTTGACAACACAAAATGACAACACCACCACCTGGCAGCAACACAATATGACAACACCACAACACCACAACACAACATGACAATACAACATGACAACAACACAACAGCAACACATGACAACACAACATTGCAGAAACACAACATGACAACAACACAACATGACAACAACACAACATCAACACAACATGACAACAACACATGACAACACCACAACCTGTCAGCAACACAACAACAACAGAACATGACAACACATGACAGCAACACAACATGAAAACAACACATGACAACAACACAACATGACAGAAACACAACATGACAACAACACAACTTGAGAGCAACACAACAACACCACCACATGGCAGCAACACATAACACAACATGGCAGCAACACAACGTTACAACACAAGAACAACACAACATGGCAGCAACACAACTTGACAACACAAAATGACAACACCACAACCTGGCAGCAACACAATATGACAACACCACAACACAACATGGCAGCAACACATGACAACACAACATGACAGCAACACAACATTACAACAACACAACATGGCAGCAACACAACATGATAACAACACAACATGACAGCAACACAACACAACATGACAACAACACAACATGAAAACTACACATGACAACAACACAACATGGCAGCAACACATGACAACACAACATGACAGCAACACAACATTACAACAACACAACACAACAACACAACATGATAACAACACAACATGACAGCAACACAACACAACAACAACACAACATGAAAACTACACATGACAACAACACAACCTGGCAGAAACACATCATGACAACAACACAACATGACAGCACCACAACACAACAACAACACATAAAAAGACAACATGGCAGTAACACAACATGAAAACAACACCTGACAACAACACAACATGACAGCAACACAACTTGACAGCAACACAACAGCAACACAACATGGTAGCAACACAACTTGATAACAACACAACGTGGCAGCAAAAATACATGACAACAACACAACATGACAGCAACACAACATGAAAACAACACAACATAGTAGCAGCACAAACATGGCACAAACATTGTTAGGCACAAAGGACAAAATGGTAGAGACTAAAACACATCATGCGAAGCAGCCACACGCGTCAGTAAGAGTGTCCATGATTGAGTCTTTGAACGTAGAGATGGAGATAAAACAGTCCAGTTTGACTGTTTTTGCATCTCGTTCCAGTTGCTAGCAGCTGCGAACTGAAAAGAGGAGCGACCCACATTAACAGAATGTGACTGGCACCCTTTGGGCTATGGTCAAAAGTTGTGCACTATATAGGGTATATGGTGCCATTTGGGACGCAAACCATGTGACCATGATTGAAACTGACTGGGTCCTTTACCCATTGGGGATTTGAACCAATAACCCTGTGGTTACTTAGCCCTATTGTCTGACTACAAGGGTCTAGGGCCCTCTGAGAGACTACTCCCAGGACTCCCTGGAAAACAATTGTTACTGAGTGAACTATCCTGTCTAAATAAATATAAAGGAAATTAATATTGCCAATGCTGCTCATTGAATCCTTAAAGAATTTATTGTACTGTATTGATCGACTCCTCCAGTAAGTGCCCCATGCATTCCCCAGGCCCCCAGGGACCCAGCCTCTCTCACCCCCAGAGCGGGCCTCCTGCTGGGGGAAGCGTCCTGACCACGGTGGGCCCCGTGGATCCGGTGACGCTGGACCAACTCGTTGGCTGACGGGTCCGTCCAGAAGTGGTCGGACGTCTTCAGCTTAGTGTACTCCAGAGCACAGGGACCCACTGTAGGAGGGAGGGGGGAGAGAGAGGGGGGGAGGGAAAGAGGGGGTAAAAGAGGGTGAGAATGAGGGAGGGAGAGAGAGTAAATATATGCAAAACGAGTATATACAGTATGTAGCATTATAACAGTCCGTAGGGACATTATAACAACCCAATGTAGCATTATAACAGTCCGATGTCCATAGGGACGTTATAACAACCTAATGTAGCATTATAACAGTCCATAGGGACATTACAACAACCCAATGTAGCATTATAACAGTCCATAGGGACATTACAACAACCCAATGTAGCATTATAACAGTCCATAGGGATGTTATAACAACCCAATGTAGCATTATAACAGTCCGTAGAGACATTATAACAACCCAATGTAGCATTATAACAGTCCATAGGGACATTACAACAACCCAATGTAGCATTATAACAGTCCATAGGGACGTTATAACAACCCAATGTAGCATTATAACAGTCCGTAGAGACATTATAACAACCCAATGTAGCATTATAACAGTCCATAGGGACATTACAACAACCCAATGTAGCATTATAACAGTCCATAGGGACGTTATAACAACATTTACATTTACATTTTAGTCATTTAGCAGACGCTCTTATCCAGAGCGACTTACAGTTAGTGAATACATATTTTTTTTATACTGGCCCCCCGTGGGAATCGAACCCACAACCCTGGTGTTGAAACGCCATGCTCTATCAACTGAGCTACATCCCTGCCGGCCATTCCCTCCCCTACCCTGGACGACGCTGGGCCAATTGTGCGCCGCCCATGAGTCTCCCGGTCGCGGCCGGCTGCGACAGAACCTGGATTCGAACCAGGATCTAGTGGCACAGTTAGCACTGCGATGCAGTGCCTTAGACCACTGCGCCACTCAGGAGTACAACCCAATGTAGCATTATAACAGTCCATAGGGACATTACAACAACCCAATGTAGCATTATAACAGTCCATAGGGACGTTATAACAACCCAATGTAGCATTAAAACAGTCCGTAGGGACATTATAACAACCCAATGTAGCATTATAACAGTCCGTAGAGACAATAAACAACCCAATGTAGCATTATAACAGTCCATAGGGACGTTATAACAACCCAATGTAGCATTAAAACAGTCCGTAGGGACATTATAACAACCCAATGTAGCATTATAACAGTCCATAGGGACGTTATAACAACCCAATGTAGCATTAAAACAGTCCGTAGGGACATTATAACAACCCAATGTAGCATTATAACAGTCCATAGGGACGTTATAACAACCCAATGTAGCATTAAAACAGTCCGTAGGGACATTATAACAACCCAATGTAGCATTATAACAGTCCATAGGGACGATAAACAACCCAATGTTGTTTTATAACAGTCCATAGAGACGATAAACAACCCAATGTAGCATTATAACATTCCGTAGGGACGTTATAACAACCCAATGTAGCATTATAACAGTCCATAGGGACGTTATAACAACCCAATGTAGCATTATAACAGTCCGTAGGAACATTATAACAACCCAATGTAGCATTATAACAGTCCGTAGGAACATTATAACAACCCAATGTAGCATTATAACAGTCCATAGGGACGTTATAACAACCCAATGTAGCATTATAACAGTCCATAGGGACATTATAACAACCCAATGTAGCATTATAACAGTCCATAGGGACATTATAACAACCCAATGTAGCATTATAACAGTCCATAGGGACGTTATAACAACCCAATGTAGCATTATAACAGCTCTTAGGGGCAACTTACCCAGTAGAAATGCCAGGATGGGTCCAAACACTGAGTCATGCATCAGAGCCTCCCTCTCATAGTACTTACTGTAGATACAACACACACACACACACACACACACACACACACACACACACCACACACACAACACACACAACACAGAGAAACAACAAAAGAGCATTGAGTCCAACATGAGAAAACACCACTCAACTGACTCCATTAGGCCTAATGTAAGACAAAACAGGGAATGAAATTAGGGAGTCTGAAAATTCAAGAGAGGCAGTAATGTAGTGTGCAGAACAAAAGCAACAGGGAGAAAGCTAATTAAATTACAAATAATGAAATCGTGACTGGAACAGACATTGATAACCTATAGTGCTTTGCATACAGTGCAGTGTGAGTTAATGCAGAAGTTGCCATTTTTTTACCTGGAGTTATCCACTATGTACTGTACGACCTTGTCCAGGACCTTCTCGAAGAGGGCGGTGCGTACCCAGATGTGCTTGATGGCCTGAGCGGAGAGGAGCTGGGGGGCGCGACCTGCAGACGACGACCCCTGCCTCCTCAGGGGCTCCTGACCCACACTCTTGGTCCTCTGGGTTCTAGGGGGCAAAGGGCCAGTAAATAACAGTGTTAGGGTTCGGGTAGGGGTTAGGCTTTAGGCAGATGATCTCAGGTAAGGCTGGTGTTGCTGTAGGGTGGGATTACAGAAATCCAGGTTGGAAGATTCCAGGAATCAGGTGGGAATCAGCAGGAAATCCAGAATACTCCAACCAGGATTTCTGGAATTCTGGGAATTTTTGCAACCCTACTATAGAGCAGACTGTAAATTATCTCTGAGCGGACTAATTGTCTTGTTGTGAGTCTTCCTCTTGGTTTTGTAGAGCAGACTACAGTGTGTATGCACTTGACTCCGTTTTAAAGCGGTAGGATAGGTATAATGGCTATGGTACGGTCTCCACCTTGTCATCTACACGGTCCATAATGGGTAAGGGCGGGTGGCTATGGGTTGATTTGGGACAGTACAGAAAGACACCTGTTTAAAAGGTGAAGTTGTAGATGTCACCAGGAGGGGGCAGCATGCCACTGTCAGTAGGTCCCGCTTGGGATTCAATGGGAGATTCTTAATTGATGTCAAACGTAATTTGTTTTGCGTTCGGGAGAATTGTGTGACTTTTTATTGGGCACAGGGTAATGGTAGTACATTTTCCCCTGGTTTACATTCCCCATTTCGCAGGTTTTACTATTCAGAACATTTCAATAACTTTTAAAATTTCTTCAAGTGCAGTCGCAAAACCCATCAAGCGCTATGATGAAACGGGCTCTCGTGAGGACCGCCACAGGAATGGAAGACCCAGATTTACCTCTGCTGCAGAGGATAAGGTCATTAGAGTTACAGCCTCAGAAATTGCAGCCCAAATAAATGCTTCACAGAGTTCAAGTCGCAGACACATCTCAACATCAACTGTTCAGAGGGCACTGTGTGAATCAGGCCTTATGGTCGAATTGCTGCAAAGAAACCACTACTAAGGACAACCAATAAGAAGAAGAGACCTGCTTGGGCCAAGAAACATGAGCAATGGACATAAGACCGGTGGAAATCTGTTCTTTGGTCTGATGTGTCCAAATGTGAGATTTTTGGTTCCAACTGCCGTGTCTTTGTGAGACGCGGTGTGGGTGAACGGATGATCTCCGCATGTGTATTTCCCACCTTAAAGCATGGAGGAGGAGGTGTTATGGTGTGGGGGTGCTTTTCTGGTGACACTGTCTGTGATTTATTTAGAATTCAATCAGATGACCTGGCCTCCACAATCCCCCGACCTCAACCAAATTGAGATGGTTTGGGATGAGTCGGACGACAGAGTGAAGGAAAAGCAGCCAACAAGTGCTCAGCATTTGTGGGAACTCCTTCAAGACTGTTGGAAAAGCATTCCAGGTGAAGCTGGTTGAGAGAATGCCAAGAGTGTGCAAAGCTGTCATCAAGGCAAAGGGTGGCTATTTGAAGAATCTCAAATATAAAATCTATTTTGATTTGTTTAACACTTTTTTGGTTACTATATGATTCCATATGTGTTATTTCATAGTTTTTGATGTCTTCACTATTATTCTACAATGTAGAAAATAGTAAAAATAAAGAAAAACCCTTGAATGAGTGGGTGTGTCCAAATCTTTGACTGGTACTGTATATACATAAACGTCAGACGCACCCACATTCTCTCTCTCTCTCTCACACACACACACACACACACACACAACACACACACACACACACACACACACACACACACACACACACACACCACACACACACACACACACACACACACACACACACACACACACACACACACACCACACACACACACTCACACTCACACATATACACACACACACACACACTCACACACACTCACACCACACACTCACACACACTCACACACACACACTCACACACACTCACACACACCACACACCACACACATACACACCAACACCCACACACACACACATACACACACACACACACACACACACACACACACCACACACACACACACACACACACACACACACACACACACACACACACACACACACACACACACACACAAACTGAAATACATGTATCCCTTTGGGACAGTATTGCGTCGGTTTACCAGATCTGCCATTTGACAGCATGTGGAGCCAAACCACAGCTGTGTCCCAAATGGCACCCTATTCCCTATACAGAGTGCACTACTGCAGACCAGTGCCCTTTATGGGGTATATGATGCCATTTGAGGCCTACCCCAAACCTTTCAGATGGGTAATTTCCCCATGGCAGCGTTCTCTGCCCCCCAAGACAACAATCCAATCCTAGAACCATGGATGTCGCAGGTCTTCACAAATTCAAAATGTCATTAAATGTCAACATGCACAGGAGTTGAAGGTAGATTAATACGACACAATTTTCACTTTACTCCAACAACAAATTAACATGAGGAATACGCTGCCATGATGACAGCGTTTATATCTAAGACGTGCATGCTCTGAAATTGAAATTTAGTGTCAGGCTTGAAGGCACCCCATCAATTCCTATTTAGAATCAAGCTACATGGGCAGTAGGCACCGGGGGAGAAGGGCATATGTGATGCTTCAGGGGCTATGAGGGGACACTGTCTGGGAGAAACTTCCAGTGTTACGGCAGCTGACAGGGGAGACTGTCTGGGAGAAACTTCCAGTGTTACGGCAGCTGACAGGGGAGACTGTCTGGGAGAAACTTCCAGTGTTACGGCAGCTGACAGGGGAGACTGTCTGGGAGAAACTTCCAGTGTTACGGCAGCTGACAGGGGAGACTGTCTGGGAGAAACTTCCAGTGTTACGGCAGCTGACAGGGGAGACTGTCTGGGAGAAACTTCCAGTGTTACGGGCAGCTGACAGGGGAGACTGTCTGGGAGAAACTTCCAGTGTTACGGCAGCTGACAGGGGAGACTGTCTGGGAGAAACTTCCAGTGTTACGGCAGCTGACAGGGGAGACTGTCTGGGAGAAACTTCCAGTGTTACGGCAGCTGTCAGGGGAGACTGTCTGGGAGATACTTCCAGTGTTACGGCAGCTGACAGGGGAGACTGTCTGGGAGAAACTTCCAGTGTTCCGGCAGCAGAAGGGATGAGCGTGATGTGGACATACAGAGCCTTCAGAAACTATTCACACCTCTTGACTTTTTCACATTTTGTTGTGTTACAGCCTGAATTTTTAAATGGATTCACTTGAGATTGTTTGTCACAATACCTCATAATGTCAAAGTGGAAATATGTTGTGTGTGACATTTTTACAAATTAATAAAAAATGAAAAGCTGAAATGTCTTCAGTCCATAAGTATTCAACCCCTTTGCTATGGCAAGCCTAAATAAGTTCAGGAGTAAACATGTGCTTAACAAGTCACATAATAAGTTGCATGGACTCACTCTGTGTGCAATAATAGTGTTTAACATGATTTTTGAATGACTACCTCATCTCTGTACCCCACACATACAATTATCTGTCAGGTCCCTCAGTTGAGCAGTGAATTTCAAACAGAGATTCAACCACAAAGACCAGGGAGGTCTTCCAGGGATTTCACCATGAGGCTAATGGTGACTTTTAAACAGAGTTTAACAGCTGTGATAGTAGAAAACTGAGGATGGATCAACAACATTGTAGTTTACTCCACAATGCTAACCTAAACGACAGAGTGAAAAGAAGGAAGCCTGTACAGAATAAAAATATTCCAAAACATGTATCCTGTTTGCAACAAGGCATTAAAGTAAGACTGCAAATAATGTGGCAAAGTAATTAACTTTTTGTCCTGAATACAAGGTGTTATGTTTGGGGCAAATCCAATACAACACATTACTGAGTAGTTATGGGTATGCTTGTAATCGTTAAGGACTGGGGAGTTTTCCAGGATAAAACATTAACAGGATGGAGCTAAGCACAGGCAAAATCCTAGAGGAAAACCTGGTTCAGTCTGCTTTCCACCAGACACTGGGACATGAATTCACCTTTCAGCAGGACAATAACCTAAAATAAGATCAAATCTACACTGGAGTTTATTACCAAGAAGACAGTGAATGTTCCTGAGTGGCCGAGTTACAGTTTTGACTTAAATCTGCTTGAAAATCTATGGCAAGACTTGAAAATGGTTGTCTAGCCATGAACCCCAACACCTTGACAGAGCTTGAAGAATTTTGAAAATAATAATTGGCAAATGTTGCACAATCCAGGTGTGGAAAGCTCTTCGAAATACTTTTGTAAATGAGATATTTCTTGATTTAATTTTCAATACATTTGAAAAAATTTCTAAAAACATGTTTTCACTTCATCATTACGGGGTATTGTGTGCTGATGGGTGAGAAAAAATTTATTTAATCAATTTTGAATTCAGGCTGTAACACAACAAATATGGAGTAAGTCAAGTGGAATGAATATTTTCTGCTCTGTATCTAGGACACTGTTATAGCAGCAGACAGGGAAGTGTGGACATATCTAGGGGGGGACACTGTCTGAATAGAGTCTGTCTGAATAGAGCCTGGGCTGAAAAGTGGTCTGTCTGAATAGTGTCTGTCTGAATAGAGTCTGTCTGAATAGAGTCTGTCTGAATAGTGTCTGTCTGAATAGAGTCTGTCTGAATAGTGTCTGTCTGAATAGTGTCTGTCTGAATAGAGTCTGTCTGAATAGTGTCTGTCTGAATAGAGTCTGTCTGAATAGAGTCTGTCGAATATGTCTTTTCTGAATAGAGTCTGTCTGAATAGTGTCGTCCGAATAGAGTCTGTCTGAATGTGTCTGTCTGAATAGAGTCTGTCTGAATAGAGTCCCGTCTGAATAGAGTCTGTCTGAATAAGTCTGGGCTGAAAAGTGTCGGGGCTGAATATGTCTGTCTGAATAGAGTCTGTCTGAATAGAGTCTGTCTGAATAGTGTCTGTCTGAATAGTGTCTGTCTGAATAGAGTCTGTCTGAATAGAGTCTGTCTGAATAGAGTCTGTCTGAATAGTGTCTGTCTGAATAGAGTCTGTCTGAATAGTGTCTGTCTGAATAGTGTCTGTCTGAATAGTGTCTGTCTTAAAAGTGTCTGTCTGAATAGT